TTGCTTCTAGATCAAATCTTTCTAATTTATTTTATTAATGGATGGCATTATATCTTAATTTAACATAAATTTGTTTTGCGGTTTTATAGAGTGGAGAAGAGGCCTCCATTGTTGCAGAAATAGTGGAGCTGGAGGAGAAATTGACGAACAAGATGCAGACTGCCTCCGGTGATAACCATCAACAAATCTGCTGCATGCACATTCTATGAACTGACATATATAAGAGTACGGAAGCTATCTCTATCCATTGTTACAATTTTCCTGTGGAATGAATTAGATAAGATTCAGCATTCTGGTTTACTTTTTGTGGTAGTGCAACAGTTCTGTGTCAAAGATGGTTATAATGTGTATGAGAAGGATTTTTTATGAATGTTAACTGAGGAAGGTAATAACAAGGTACTAGAGGATGATTCATTAGAGCTGATCCTTGGTTTAACCTTTTGGACCCGCTTTTATATGTTAATCCATCCTACTATTTATGTTACTGCAAAAATTTTCCAGGATGTTCCTTATAAGCCTCAAGAGTTCTACATTAAGACACGCAAATGCGAGCGAGATGCCAGTGCAGATATTGTGAGGATCTGTGAGAGGCAAGTGTTCTTTACTTTTTCTGCTCTCCCCTTAATTATGAACTTTATCTATTGATTATTTCCATTTTGCTTTGAATTGTTGGGAAAGGTTGTTTTGGATATGCCAGGTTTTCAACTTTTGATCTGCTTATTTATAAATATAAAGAATTAAATATATATTATCTTATATTTCTAGTGACTTTAGATCTTTCTGTCACGTATATTGACTGCCTCTAGCATCTGTTTCCGTAGGTTTAACTCATCTGATGCCTGAACTGATTAATGGTAATCGTCTAAGTTTAAGATTATTGAAATTTTTTAACACCTATAGTAGCTTAGATCTTTCACCATGGCATAAATCTTGAACATTTACTAGTGAAATGGAAGAATAGAAGGGGCACCTAAGTATCAATTACTGTAAATATTACTTTGTACCTGGTGCAATAACCGTATATCATTTTTGCTTACCATGGCATAAATCTTGAACATTTACAGGTGAAATGGAAAAATAGAAGGGGCACATAAGTATCAATTACTGTAAATATTACTTTGTACCTGGTGCAATAACCATATATCATTTTTGCTTACCATGGCATAAAGCTTGAACATTTACAGGTGAAATGGAAAAATAGAAGGGGCACATAAGTATCAATTACTGTAAATATTACCTTGTACCTGGTGCAATAACCGTATATCATTTTTGCTTACTTTGTACCTGGTGCAATAACCATATATCATTTTTGCTAAGTGCAAATGAGCACTGATTATGTCTTCTTCTGATTATGTCCTCTTCTGATTATGTCTTCTTCTTCTTCTTCATCTGGAACTTTTGCTTATCATATTTCATCATAATGCCAAAACTTATTAACATCCTTTCCTGGTGTTTAGCAGCTATATTAAAGGACTCTGATTTTAATGAAGTTGATAGAGCTGAGTGCCAGTTTTGTACAACAGCCACTGTTCTGGACAGCGGATCGCAGGTCTGGGACAGTCCCATTCATTACTTGGAAAGTTTATGCTAATAATTATTTTAATGTGAAAGGATCCTGAAACACTATACTGACAGCTGTTGGATCCATGTGGTATATGCACATTTATCTACATGATGAAAATGATACACATAGTGCTTTATGAAATGTTCTAACTAGAACAACTGACTGAGAGTTGGTGTACTTTGTTTTGCTAGTGTTTCATGAGCTTGCATATCAGTTTATGAAATGCAATCTGATTGCCAAAGTTCCGTCAAGCATCTCAGGTTGACTCACTTGAATCATCAATTTGTTTCAGATTAGTCCCTTTCAACAACTAAAGAGGGGTAAAAATGATATATTTGCATCCATTGAAAGAATTTGGAGAAAACTCTAGGAAGCTTTGGTAGACTACATCACAGGAAAAACTTGCAGGTACTTGTCCCTGGGACAAAAATTTGTGTTGATATCTTCAACTGGACATAGGGTTTCAGCTTGTGCTATTCTTACTGACGTCTTGTAATGTGTTTAGCTATCAGAATATGGTCTTTAGGAATATCTACAGAATCCAGAACTACTTTTTTTTGAAAAATATAATTGTTAATTATTAGCAACTACAGTAACTCTTTTGGTATTGCATTTTAATTTTTCCAGCAGAAGTGCTCTGGGTTTTTTTACTTCAGCTGCCGCATACAGTATGTATACATGAGGTGGATACTGCTCTTTGGTCTACTTTTGGCAATTTTTCCAACGGGTAAAACTTACTTTCTTTTCTGATGTTAGTATAAAAGAGTAGGATCCACAATGAATGTGAGCCTGTGTTTACTCTCTAATTTGAATTACAGTGCTTGTGGTGCTATGGCTTGTATATCAGAAAGGATTCTTTGATCCTCTTGAGTGTTGGAGAGATCATTTTTGGGATGATAATCAGATAATCCAAGGCACATGGAGGCATGATATTGGCAATAACAATTACTACATTCGTGTTAAGAAACATAATGAGCATGAGCCCAGGCACCACAAACATGATTCTCATTATAAGCAAAATAGCATTTGTCATGAGCACAGTCATAACCATTCAAGAAGAGACACCAAATATAAGGTTAACAACCACAAGCACAGGCATAGACAATCTAAGAATCCAAGCAGCACACATCAAGCTTACTTGGACGGGAAGGAGATTCACTATATAAGCCACAGACAGAGAGGAAAGCCAGGAGTAACTCTGAAGATAGCATGGTGAAGAACAGGGAGATGAATTTTTGAAGTACAGAATTTTTTGCAGAATGACACACGTGGCTTGAGGTGCTTACTAAACAGAAAAAAATGTGGCAACTGAAATTGATTCCGTTTGTATTTTGACTTTTAACATCACAAGTATATCAGTCCAAACATCTGTATCACTGTATGTCTCCATTCCTCGTTTATTTGTTGCAGAGGAGCAAACCTAAGATTGATGACAATTAAGATTTAAGTCTTCAGGGGAAAGAAAATGGATGAGGATGAAGGAAGAAGATCCTGAAAACATTTACAGCTGTAGGTAGAAAGTATGATTTCATTTTTTTTTTTCTTTTTTCTTTTTCTTTGCAGCTATATGACAAGAACACAACTTTGAAGATGACCCTTCGCAAAACTGTGATTCAGTATCTGTTTTGAGGGTCACAGTCACATCTGTATATTTTCTCCCATTCGTAAAATTTTCTAGAGTCTCGAAATGTATCCGTGACTATTCTCCTCTGTTGCAGCCTGAAATTGGCAATCTTTGCAAAGAGCTTGGTTTTTGCCGCTTGCCATTTTGACGTGTCAATTTATGAAATACCGTCTGTTTTGTTTTTCTCCATGAGTTGAATGAGAAAACCATCTGGAAACTGCAAGCCAGGACTTCGGAGTATATCTCCTCCTTTGATTGGTGTCCACCTGAAAAGATTGAGTTCCAGATAAAATTCATTTTCTTTCCTCTCATTGGTTGTCCATTTAGAAAAAAGCAAAAATGCATCATGCTATTACCTGTACTTTGTAACCAAGCAATGGAGAAACACAGCCATCTGCACCTTCGTGAAGTCTGTTCCAACACAAAATCTCATGCCACCACCAAATGCCATAAAATTCTTTGATCCACCATTTAGCTCCATCACCTGTAGTTGGGAAGAAGAAGAAGAACAAGAATAAGCAAAAAGTTCTTAACAAAAATTAAAGTTCTTGGCATAAAAACAATAACAGGGTTTCGGAAAGTCTGCCCCACCCCCCATCTCCCTGGATTGAAGGAAAGGGGATCTTGATATATTGCAGGATTCAAGTGTACAGCTGGAGGACACACCATCACTGCCCAACCTGCCGGAATAGTATATTCTGCAAAATTCCCATATTTAATGTGTTAACACCTCAAGCTATTTATAACAAATCTGAAGGGGAAAAAATGTATTTTTACTTCATACATACCCTTGAATTGAATATCTCTCAGAGCTTTCCTGAATATTCCAGGGACTATATTTGCCAGCCTAACTGTTTCATGGATGAACTGCAAGTTGAACTTGATTTTAGTTTTTTTGTTTTTAATGCTGCTTTAAAAGGGGTTCATATTTTATGATTAATGCAAGAATTATTCATACCTGAAATGTATATGTCATTGATTTGTATTCTTTCCATGTAAGTCCAGTGTCGGCATTTTCCCGATTCTCTAAAATTCTTTCATGCTCTTCCTGTAATGTGAGAAGGGGAAAGCATTTATGAATTTGTTGGTTGAGATTTGAAGGTGAATAATGATGATTTAGTTGGGATTTTTATATTAAATTATTTCACATACCGTTAGTTGCTTCAATACTAAAGGATGGTCAGAGAGGAATTTGATGGCTAAAGTTAGTGCCAAGGAAGTTGTTTCAAAGCTGGCAAATAGCAGCACAAACATTAAATCCAGAGCAATTGCCTCTGTCAGGATTGTTCCTTCTTTCTCAAGTTCTTCTAGCACATAATCAAAGAAGTCGATCCGCTGCATCCGGGGCTTCTCCCTTCTCTCCATTAGCATGTTCTTCAACATCCTCATTGCCCTTTTCCTCCCCTGAAAAACAAACTCCAACAGGTCAGAATTTTCTAATGCTGAATTCAGTTATGCTATTAATTACTCTAAACACTTCTGATATAAGTATACCTGTAAACATTTGTGATATGCTGTTCCAGGGATATCCACTGGAAAGGAAATCAATCCCCGGATGAACGCAACAAAATTCTCCCTTAAATTTTCTGAAGAATTGTCTTGGTCATAACTTATCAGCTTTTTAGCAGTCAGATCAAAAATCATCTGCACATATGAAAAATGAAAAAGATCATCAACAGTATGAAGAAATGAAACTTATTCAGATTCTGGATAAAAATGGTAATCATTCAGAAACTTACACTAGCTGTAGCTTCTTTTAATTCCACAGTGTCCTGACAGGACCACTGTTTCAGCCTCCTGCATGCTGTCTGTTCAACTTCAGGCATCATCTTCTTGAGACTTTCAGGACCAAACAGGTTCAGTACCATGTTCTTCAGGTACTTGTACATGAAGCCATGTAAAGAACCCACATTCTGACGACCAAAGATCTCTGTGAATGTGTCTGGATACCAGCTCTGGAACAATTGTCCCTCCTGGAGGAAGATGAAATGGTTGAGATCTGGGTCTGTTGATACTATCACCGGTCTCCCCACCAAGCTAGTCCGGAAAATTGGTCCGTACCTGAAACCAAACAACAGTTAGCATTCATACAACCAGGAGAAATTAAGTAAGAATAAAGAAATTGTTAAGACATGGGGTGCTTTTACCTCTCCATTCTTCGTTTGACAAAGGGTGAAATATCAGAAGTAGTGCTGGGATTGAAGAACTGAAGTGTTTCGCCGAGGAGGGGCAGTCCCATTGAGCCTGGTGGAAGTTTCCCATTGCATTTGGGATTCCTCCAGGTGTAAATCCAACATATTATGAATACAAGAAGCAAAGCTCCAATGAACATCCCCCACATCTTCAACAGAAAGATAACAGCGCTGGATATGGTTTGCACAGAAATAGAAAAATGTAGACAATTTTAGATATGATTTCTAGAAATGAAGAGAGCTTTTAAAGAAGGAAACGTGAGGAGAATAGACAGGTAGGAGAAGAAAGTGCTGTCACATATCTCATCAACCATTCTGGGGGTATCTTCTTAAATAGACTGGCACAGCTTACAACTGTTCATTGAATAAATTATGGTTTTTGGTTACTTGGTTTTTTGAGAAGATAGAATGGAATAATTTACAGCAATTCATTTTAAAAATTGGTTCACCCTATTATTTTTGTCAACGTAGTAAAGGATGCTTCCTCTCACTTTCTCTGTCCCTCCCTCCATTTCAACAGATGCAACCAATTTCATAAAAAAACAATCAATAAAATGAATCTGAAGAAGGCACGAGGCAGAATATAAGGATTTAGGGGATCAATGGAGGGGTTGAAAGAATCTGTATGACCAATTTCAGTATTGGATCGCAATCTACATTTACATCATCATAGATACACCAAAAATCTTTATTCCCTTGATAAAAGTTGTTTAAGTTGAAAGTCTGTAGAATCTATGTGGTGCTGTTGATGTTCTCACTGCCATTTTTATTCCATGATTGGATATTCTCCTTAGATTTTCTGTAGCAGAAAATCTAATGTTAAAATGTCTCCCCAATCTTAATGCATACATCACAAGTGATTTTTTCTAGATATGCAAGTAAGTAATTAGTTAGTAGCTTTCCCTGTTCATTGCTTGACCGAACCAAATATCAAATCAAGTTTCAAAACATAGAGCACCGCCCCATGAGGCCATTGAGCCAACAAAATATATATCAAACCGTAGATGTTAGATATAGGTTACTGTGAATTTTCATCCTCCATTATATGCATGATGGTATTAGATTATGCATTAATCCACTGTTTTTCACTATTTAAGTCCATGATTCCGGTCAAAAACTTCGATTATTAGGCCTAAGATGAAAACATAGGATGCTAGTTTTCTAAGGCACTTAACATCAAGAGTACTGGAGGAATGCAAAAAAATAAGCTGTAAAGTGAGTCCAATGCCATTGTTGCTAGCTAGGCTTGCACACTAGATTCGTGAAGTTTTGTTTAATTTTTTTTCCTCCAAGTATAAATGCTTTAATTTATGGTATAAAGTTTGTTGTTATTACGTGTAATGGTGGATGAAGATAAAGTTTGTGTGTTTTTGGTAAGCTGTCGAGGGGATGAGGACATGGAACAGCTTTACTAGGTCACACGGACACAAGGACACACCTCATTTTCGGGTTTGGTGTACAAATTTGACACCTCTAAAGTTGTTTTTGGGATGATTATTAAAGAGGAAAAGGGTTGCAAATTGTGATGCAGATTGCTTAACCGCTGAGAATGGGCATGGAAAGGTCTTCCTGAACGGGGGGAAAGGAGGGAGTGGTGCAAAATCTGACAGCTCTTTGCTCTCATATTGGAATTATAAAACTGTGTTTTTTATTACAATAATGTTGCATCACAAAATGTTGTCTACTTGCGTTGAAGTCAAATTCTCCGTCATTTTCTCTACTTCCTAAAAGGGTTCTGAATTCTGATAATAATACATGGAAAAGGGTTAGTTTTTAAATGATTTGTGTGAATGCACTTCAAATTTAATGGTTTGTCTAAATTTTAATATTTAGATAGAATTAATAGATAATTTAAAATTTATCAACTACTTAAACATTTATATTTAATTTACGAGTTACAAGTATTTTTTTAATCCATGAGTTAGATCCATTCTTTCCCCTTTTTTTTTCTTAAAATTACCTTTGTTCAAATAAATATATTATACTAATAATAAATGAATGGCCGGTAAGACGGGGGACTAGAATTTTAGATGGTCCTACTTGTCTTAATGTTCAAAGGCACAACCCACGAATTGGTGGATGAATTGACAAGAAAATTTTTTAATTTAATCAGAGATTTTGATTTCAGATCTTAAGAATGTAGTTTCATTAGAACTCGTGAAGAAAGATTTTGTCACCCATTAAGTTTTGTCTGATTCAAGCCCAAATTAATCGGTGACCCAATGAGCTTTTAGATATCGGGTGATTCATACAAAAAAAAAAAATGTTCAAAGACACAAAATCAGGTTTTCTTTGAGCCCACAAGCAAAAAGTTACACATAAATTCCTCCATTTTTTTTTTTTTTTGGTTTTGTAAGCCAAAAAAAGTTCAAAATCATCAATATTGATTCGTTTTTACAACCCATGTTCACTTGATAATGACCGTGTTTCACTACTTGAGTCTAGATACATGTATCACTAGTCAGGTGAAAATTCAAGAATAATATTAAGAGAATAAAGTTGTGTTAAGTTTAGTAATTAAAATGATAAAGCCTTTTTACTTAATATTATTATTTAATTAATAACATAAATTTTGGTTGTAAAGACTAGGCAAAATGAGAGAAATGGTAGGGATCCAAGTAATTTTCCTAGTTAATGAATAAGACAATATTAATTCAATAATGGGGGTTTTGATTTATCCAAGGAAGAGAGAATTGGGGAAAAATTGTTCTTCTTGTCTGTGCCTTGCCCATGCACACGGGGACTGTAACTGTATCATAAAAAACATTTCAGTGTTTTTCTGGCAGGCATGTTACAGATCATAATTAAGTGGGGTGGGAGGGCAACATTAGTACTATTAATCATCTTTAATTTAGATAATGGTACAAGCCTCAAGCCCTCACCTCTTTCCTAGATTTAAACCATGAAACTTCAAAAAGCTTAATTGGTCTGCCCTTTTCCTAGTGCTTCCAAAACAATCTCTACTAATAATACTAATACTAAAACAAATCAATCTAATCAATTTTAATCTCAAATCAATTTTATCAATCTCAACTCATAATCAAGTTCATCACAAATTCTAATCAATTTCAAGACTATTTTTTTTTTAACAGGGTTACAAATATGAGGGTGGGGGTATTCGAACCCCAATCCTCGAGTTGAGGGATGCACCTTACAAGCCGACCTATGGCCGTTGAGCCGTGAGGCCGAGGTGCAATTAATTTCAAGACTATTGACTTAATATCAAGTTAAAACCAAATCAATTTCAAATTAGTTATAATATAACTAACAAATTCTATTATATTAGTTAATACATATGCAAATATAGTGATTTAAAATTTTACTACTTAGATATGAGTTGGTATTATTTTGAAGAATCTCTAAATTAAATAAAACAAAAAAAATTAAAAAAAATCTTTTATGTATTTGTAAATCTTAAACCTCTAGATTAATTAATGTCTAAATCCACCACTACTATGCACCAAACAAGATAAAATGTATAATATACGATGGTAAGGTTTAGCTGTAAAAGTTTAAAAATTGGAGTATAAAAGTGGAATTAGTATGAACTAATTAGTTATTAAGAAAGTATTATAATTAAGTATAGAAGAAGAAATAAAGGAGGGATCCTCTTCCTTGGATAATCAAATTCTAGGTGCTTCTCCTTGGTTTTTTCAGGGCCCCTCTTCCTCTACTTCTTATCCTTTGTCTTGATTTCCCTATCCCCTTCTTGGATCTTGGTGTAGAGGAGAGATTGGGGCGTAGGCGGTGAAGGGACCTAGTGCAGAGCAAGGCTGGTGCAGGGCGCGCGCACGGGGCGCGAGTGTGGGTGTGGGAAAGGGCGCAGGCTTGGGGCGCTGCAAGGGCAAGGGCGTGGTGCAGTAGGAGGCTCGTCTGGGTGCAGCAGGCGGCTAGTTTGTGGGTGGACCCTGTGTTTTCCAGATCTAGAAGAGCTTTGGTTCCTGCACATGCTGAGCAGGGGCAGAGGCAGAAATTTTTTTCAGGGGGGGCAAAATACTAAAATTTTCAAAGTTCAGGAGAAATTAGATAATTTTTCATATATTAATTTGCAAGATTTTCAAATTTCAGGGGGGGCAAGTGCCCCCCCTCGCACCCCCCTGGCTCCACCACTGATGCTGAGTATCATATTCCTCTTTGAAACAATGCACTCCACTATTGCGATGCCTCTGTTTTGCTTAGATCTAGGGAATTCGAGTGGTAGTCATTGGAGGCTGATTGGTTTTTTCGGTCGTAAGCCAAAGGAAAAGGATGAGGTTGGTAAAGTCGCTACGGGGAAGAATGCTGCTTCAGTCTTAAAAGGGGCTCTAGTTCCCTTATTGGAATTTGGCAACAAGGGCTTACAAAGGATTGGAATAGTTAGGGAATGGTTGGGAGCCCAGGGCGACAAGAGAGGTGCCTAGGTTTGTATAGAGGATCATGGCCCTCCTATTTGATTGAAACTGTTATAGGGACGACATATAGTGGGTTGGGGACTGCTGATGTCGAATTTTTCCTGCTCTTCCCGTGAAGCTGGCTAAATAGGTGAGGACGTCCAGTAGTTTCAGACACTCATAGCAACCTCCTTTTCTACTTTTGTAGCCCTATTTTTACCCATACAGCGATTGTAGCTACAATCTTTAGTTACAGATGGCCCTCTTCGCTTAATTGTCCATATATGTCATGGGCACAGTTTAAATCTGTTACTAATGCTATAAGTTACGCTTCTGTCCTTAATATAGCTATAATGCCTTGCTAGAGATTCATTTGTAATCTCATTATATTTAATATAATTCTCTGTTTCCTATCAAAAAAAAAAAAAAAAGAGGGCATGTTAGTCTAGAAGAAGAGTGCCGTGTAACCAAACTGGACTAAAGACGAGATCTGATTAATTAAATCAGTTCAATTAATGTAATTAAACACCTGTTGGAAAATTCCTCAAAAAAAAACACCTGTTGGAAAACTATGGGGAGCAATGTTAAACTCGATAATTGTGATGTTTTATTCAAAGTCAAGTACTTCAAATGGTCTTAAAATTAAAAATATGGAATTTGGTCAAAGAGATGCATTATACTAATAATTTTAATTAACTAATTAATTATTAACGTCATTACCAATTTTCAAAAAAAAAAAATTAGTTATTAACGTAGACAAGTAGTACAATGCTTGCTCAGTTTTCAGCTTTGTATTCTGCGGGCTTGGGTTCGTTGACCTTTTCTTAATCCCTCTTAAGCCCCGTGGAGAAGACAACCCAAGTGTTGTATTGTGCATTATTATTATTATTTAATAAATTAAAATTATTATATACATATTAAATAAAATATTATATAAAAAATAATATTTAACAAGTATTGTCGAAATGAAGTTTTACTTTCCCATGAATATATAAATAATTAATCAATATATATATCAGAGGTTCATATGCTGCCACGATCTACTCAGAAAAGTTTTTGGGTTTTTTTATTTTTTCTAAGAAAAATTCAATCAAGAAAAACATTCAGATCGGCCCGATTCCCTGAATGTGAATTAATGAAAAAAGTCATAGTCTCACATAATTGTGACGTTGAGTTAAAGAAATTTTTCGTGAATTTTTATAGTATATATATTTTTTTTAAACATAAGAAAATCATGAGAAATGAAGAATATTTTTAAGATATTAGTAAAAATTGAATTTTTAATTAATTAAATTTAAATATTAAAATTCAAAGATAAATTATTAAATTTAAAGATTCAGCTCTTATAGTATATATAGTTATGAGAAGAAGAGAGTGGAGAAAGAATTTTTTTTTATTTAATTGTAAAAAAAAAACTAGAGAAAAATAAAAGAAAGGTAAGTTATTTATTTATTTATTTAAAAAAAGAGAAAAGAAAAATAAAGAGATATGATAATTTTTTATTCACTTTTATTTTTATAAACCAAATATATTATTAATATTAATGTAAAAGATTTATTTTATACTAAATTAAAAAAAATTATAAGTAAGTTGACAAGGAGACCCCCTAATGTTAAAAAAATAAATTTAATTTTTAAAATTAAGAAATTGATGGCAAGGGAAACACGACCTGAGCATTGGTAATTCCAAAGCCTTTTAAAAAATAAAATGATAATAATATCATCAGTCTTTCACTTACATTCCACAATTCACATTAATATATATATTTTTTTCTTCGCTTCTTCTTTCAGTTAACATGCATGCAAGGCCACGTGCCCCTGCCTAGGCTACGTGTATAATGGGCTGGGCTGATCTTAGCCCACTCAAAATGTTTTCCGGTTTTGCACTTGCTTATTTTGGGCCTTACTCACACGGTCGGTCACACCAAAATCATTTTGTTAGGAATGGTCCAGTCCAGTTTAATTGTTTAGTTAAATTGGGCCAAAAATGCCTCCAACCCAATTTAGTTTCTTCTACACGGCCCAACTAGTATCTCTTTTATTTGGGCCAATTTTGGCCGATTTAGATAAGTGGCTCATAGCGTAAGCTGACTGCTTTACGTTTCTTTAAAAAAAAAAAAAAGTTTATAATTGATAATTGTTAATAATTATTAATGTTTATAAAGATTTAGTGTTTACCCACTTATTTTTTAAAAATTAAAGAAAAATTAAGGAATATTCCGGTGGAATCTGATTTTCCTTTGGCTTAATTGCTCATGGTTTTTTTTTTCTTTGCCTTCACTCAAGGAATTAGGAATGACAATTTAGAAAAGGCATTACCCTCATCAAAAAAAAAAAAAGGGGGGGGCATTATCAATAAATTTGAAAAATAAAAACATATCATTAATGTGTTAAAATAAAATTTAAGTGGTTAATTGTACTCATGGAACTTCCATAATTAAAAAGAAAAAAAAATTAAAGCTCATAATATTGTGGTTTTTGGTCCCCATCTTGAGTTTGTCCCTCTCTTCTAATAAGAACATCTTGCACACTTGATAGGCACGGAACAACAGGGGCAGTAAAGGTAGCTGTGCCGTCCGCGTGGTTGCATATTGCTTCCACTTTGCTACTCGGATTCAAAGAGGTAATGTTTACTAGATTCATCTTAATGTTGGTGCAAGGAACTATACTACTACAGTTTAATGTAATTGCAATGTTATCAGCAGAAGTTCCTTGAAACTTTGAGAATGTTATATCACTTACTTTCACTGCAGTTTGCTGTTCAGAAAAGAAAAAATATCAATGTTTATAATTAATTAAAACTAACATTTGTATATTTTAGTAAGAATATTTTTGTTTTCTTTTTGTTTTTACCTTCTCAGGTGGACAATTTTGACGAGGACAATAATGTTGATCAATAAATATGGGATTGCCTGCTCCAATAAGAATAATGTCCTCGTATGATATTGATCTCGCAAAACCCAATCCTCCCTGTATGGTACATAAAACAAAAGAAAATTGTTTTAGACATTGAGGAATAGATTTTAAGTTATTATCTATAGGAATTAGTGTTTATTTGTTTTATCTTTTAAAGATTAGAAGGAAAATTATTTTAAAATTACGTAGTTTTAATAAAGTATTATAGAAAAAAACAAAAAATACTCTATTTCATGTTTTAAAAATATGGTATTTTATTTTTTTTCATTGGAGATTTATTGAAACGATATAGTTTTAGGATGATTTTCTTTTTAATTTTTATGAGGTGAGGCGGATATGTATTATTTCCTTATCTATATAATTAAGAAGAAAATTTATTTGTACCGCCCATGTTTTTATCCTTGCTCCATTCTGAGTTCCATTAAAGGTACAATTACGAACATGCACCTCTTGCACCATATCATTGGATCCATCTTTTCCAAGGCTTCCCACGCTACAAAACACACGCACAATACAATTAATCACACAAAATTAGACATATATAGACTCGATCATCAGAGATCAACTAAATTTTCCTTTTTCACCAACCTGATTCCATGTCCTGGCCCGCAATTTAAACGTGTAATTTTAATGTTGGAACTGCCACCGTTAATCGCTATACAATCATCTCCTATTACAAATTCATATATACGTACTAATTAGTATAATACCAATTAATTAATCACACACACAAAAAAATAAAAAAGGGTTATAAATAAATATGATTCGGTTTACCTGTTCCTATGAAAGAATCAGATATATCAAGTTCCTTGGAATTAGCAATGTCAATTCCATCGGTGTTAGGACTATCTTTTGGTGCAATCAAATTAATCTTGGATATAGATACATCCTTGCAGCCAGATATACCAATGTGGTTTAGTGGGCTGTTGTGACTTGTTAGTCCACTTACTCGGAGATTATTGCAACTTTGAAAATACAAAACCTGCATGCATGTAATAACTCAAATTGAAATTAATATGCCTAGCTAATTTAAATTTAATTTAATTAGTTAAGTTAAAGAGTGAATACTCACTG